GAGAGTGTGTGTGTGTGTGTGTGTGTGTGTGTGTGTGTGTGAGTGTGTGTGTGTGTGTGGGCTGCCGGGTCACAAACACACACTCTCTCATCCTGTTGTAGATGTGTAATCTCACAGGAATGCTCACGCCCTGCTCTTAAAACCAACATGACTCCAATTAAACTGTCAGCGTTTGATATCTGAACTAAAGCTCGTATGTTTTACTGAATAAGTTGCATTCTGATGTTTGGAAACGTCTAGATCACATTCCCAAACAAAAACATTAATCCCATTTTGAGGAGCATTAAATCTTTTTTGCATTGTGACATTATTTTCACAACAATTTCAGTAACACTTTACTTGAAGACTTCATTATAATGCATTATGAAGTTTTTCATAAGGAACGTTATAATGCATTATATCTTTTCATAAATAAATATAATTAAAGTTAAAATGCATTATAATATTTTTGTCATGTTTTAATTCATTGTACTTTCTAAAGGTGTAACAATAAATAGATAAGTATTATAAATGTGGTTACAATTATTCATGAGGTCATACAACGCATTATAAGGTGCATAATATTAATGCATCATAATTAAATGCATAATTGTTGTGAAAAGAATGACACAATGCAAAACTGATTTAATGCTCCTCAAATTGAGTTTGATGTTTTTCTTTTGGGAATATGATCTGGACGTTTCCACACAGGCTTCAGTTCTGCATTATATCATTTCTCATGTTGGGGTGAAATCTGAGCCATCACGTTCTCCTCGTCTCTCTGTGTGAAGCTTTCTCATGCTGAATGCCACAGGATCTCATTACTCTCTGTCAGTGTTTCTCTGTGAGTCCGTAACGGATCTCTCCTCTCAGAGCCGCTTCTGTGCTGCGTCTCGAGGGAGTCGCACGCAAACCCAGTGACTTTAATGACTTTTCTCCTGTTCACACGACTCCCTTCAGTCATTCTGAATGTGTTTTCTGTTCACACTGCTGCATTTAATGCATTAATCAGTGATCAATGAATGTTTGTCCTAGAATCAAGAGGATCTGTGATGTGGACGGCCTCACTAAACTTGACGTTCTGGACTTACATAATAATCAGGTACAGATTCTCAGGCAATATTGCATATGATTTTATTATTATCAGACACTGACAGCTGCTGCCTTGAGGTGCAAATTCAGTTAGATGTGTCTAATTAACTATTCTCTACCATTACAGTCAGTGTGAAATAACATGCAAATAAAATGGAAATAACATGCATTTTTAAAATGCATGTAAAAGATCATCTTATGAACAATTCGTCCATGCATATGTTATTTTTAAACTTTTTTTGACATTGTAATGTTTAATCAAAACATCATAACTGGATCTTCCACTTTGTGGTGATGTATGTAGGATTTTTCCAATCAATTTGTGCTCTTAAGCTCCGCCCCTGCAGCTCATTTCCATATGCATTTAAGAGCCACGCCCACATCTCAGCTTCCAATCAACAACCAAAGCACTGAACCAAGTCCCGCCCTACATTTATTCCTCTCTTACACTCGAATGTATGTCACAATATGGAAGAAAAGATCTGTCACTACTTCCGTTTCATCATGACTTTAACATGAGTATTAATTTTTAAACCCATCAAATGTCAAAGCTGTGCAAATATTTCAGTTCATGTATTATGTAAATGAAAAACATGTAAAAATTTTTGACCTTATGAGGTTGACCAACAGCATTTTTAAGGTTAATCACATCGTGTCACTGAAGAAAGTCATATTTTGAATTCTATTCATGTAAAGCAGCAGTGTTAATGATATTTTTGTTGTGATTGTGGAGGCGGATGCTGATTGGTTGATTGGTGCTGTGCATAAGTAGCTCCGCCTCCTCACTGCTGTGAGTAATCCATCACAAACCCTCATCAGGAGAGGAGATGCAGGGTGTTTTTGAGGCAGATTGCTAATTTCCAGCATCAGTCTGTCATTTATTTCCCACGTCAGTCTATTTTAATCATGTTAAGTGCTGGTTTGGGTGCTTTCTGTCAGCTGTTGGACTTGTATGCGTGGTTTATCAACTCATTGCTTTTGAAGAACAACAATTTGTGGCTCTAAGTTTCTTTTGGTGGTTTGGATGTCGTGATGACAGATGCGTGCGTGCATACGTGCGTGTGTGTGTGTGTGTCTCCCAAAGCAGCTCTTCTGTGGGACTCTGTCACTGCTTTCTCTGTCTTTTGGACACTGATAATGAGATGAAGGTCTGTGGTTACAGGTTCATGTCAGACTGATGTTGATGCATCAAATGTGTTGCTTAATGAATTAGACACATGACATTGTTTTTCTTTACTACTGTATGTAAACCACAGTAAACATCTTTAATGGTGCACATCAGAAGTCTACACCAAAATATGCTTCCACTGAAATACCATACTTAAACATGAAGATAATAGATTTTTATAGTCATTTTAAGGTGTCCATCAAAAGTTTACTGGGGTTGGTAAGATTTTTTAATGTTTTGAAAGAGTCTCTTCTTCTCACAAACGTTGCATTTGTTTGATCAAAAATACAATACAAAATTTTGAAATATTATAATTTAAAATAACTATTTTCTACGGTGAATATATGTTAAAATGTAAGTTATTCCTGTGATCAAAGCTGTATTTTAAGCATCATTTCTCCAGTCTTCAGTGTCACATGATCTTCAGAAATCATTCTAATATGCTGATTTGCTGCTCAAGAAACATTTCTGATTATTATCAATGTTGGAAACAGTTGTGCTGCCCAATATTTTTGTGGAAACCGTGATACATTTTGTTTTTAAGGATTCACAGATGAATAGAAAGTTCAGAAGAACAGCATTTATTTGAAATAGAAATCTTTTGTAACATCTCTCTCTCTCCTCAGATCTCTCAGATTGAAAATGTGTCTCGTTTGTCGAAGCTTCGTTTGTTGAATCTCTCTGGAAACCGCATCACTCGAGTGGAGAATCTGCAAGGTCTGAACTGTCTGACCGAACTGAACCTGCGACACAACAGCATCACGTCTGTGGTGAGGAATGATTGGTGACGTTCTCCTGTCTGTCTGTCTGTTCTGTCTGTCTGTCTGTGATTGGTGATGTTCTCCTGTCTGTCTGTCTGTGATTGGTGACATTCTCCTGTCTGTCTGTCTGTTCTGTCTGTCTGTCTGTGATTGGTGATGTTCTCCTGTCTGTCTGTCTGTGATTGGTGACATTCTCCTGTCTGTCTGTCTGTTCTGTCTGTCTGTCTGTGATTGGTGATGTTCTCCTGTCTGTCTGTCTGTGATTGGTGACATTCTCCTGTCTGTCTGTCTGTTCTGTCTGTCTGTCTGTGATTGGTGATGTTCTCCTGTCTGTCTGTCTGTGATTGGTGACATTCTCCTGTCTGTCTGTTCTGTCCATCTGTTTGTGATTGGTGACGTTCTCCTGTCTGTCTGTTCTGTCCATCTGTCTGTGATTGGTGACGTTCTCCTCCCTGTCTGTTCTGTCCGTCTTTCTGTGATTGGTGACGTTCTCCTGTCTGTCTTTCTGTGATTGGTGATGTTCTCCTGTCTGTCTGTTCTGTCCGTCTGTCTGTGATTGGTGACGTTCTCCTGTCTGTCTGTTCTGTCTGTGATTGGTGACGTTCTCTTGTCTGTCTTTCTGTTTGTGATTGGTGACGTTCTCCTGTCTGTCTTTCTGTGATTGGTGACGTTCTCCTGTCTGTCTGTTCTGTCTATCTGTTTGTGATTGGTGACGTTCTCCTGTCTGTCTTTCTGTGATTGGTGACGTTCTCCTGTCTGTCTGTCTGTCTGTCTGTGATTGGTGGAGTTGTGATGGAGCATATCAGCTGGACAGTGACGTCATTTTGTGTCTGGGACATCGCGGCTAAATTTAGATGCAGTCAGAGAGAGAGAGGATGATCAATACCGACATTCAGACAGCAGTAACTAACAACACACGAGTTTTGCTTGTGTTGTTCTGTCAAACACTTTGTTTTCATTGATTGATGATATAAAGGTCAGAGAATATTCCACCAATTTATTCATCTTGGCAACCATCCTAAACACCCCAGCAATTTAGAAACATCTTAGCAACCCCCTAGCAACCACTTAGTTACATTTTAGCAGCTATCATAAAAATTTTAGCAACCATCTTAGAAAAATCTTAGCAACCATTCTCAACACCCTAGCAACCACCTAGAAACATTTTAGCATCCATCCCCAACCACTTTGAAACTTCTTGGCAACCACCCTAATCACCCTAGCAACCACAATTGATTGACACAATTGAAAAACCCTCAGCTGAAAACAATGTCTGGCTGTTTCTGCTGTCGAACACTTCCTGCGTGTATGTGCTGAATTTGAGCATCTCTCCACACTCTCACACACTCTCCCCTCCCCCGCAGTCGTCCTGCTCTTCCGCTGCCCCTCCCGTCAGCGTGTGTGTGTGTGTGTGTGTGTGT